GTATTAAGTTTATATTAACCTAGATTTATAAGCTTAACTTAGTTCTAATCTAATTTTAAAAGGTTTTAAAAAGTTCTAAACTAAGTTTTAAAGGTTTTAAGTAGTTTTAACTAAGTTTTAACTAAGTTTTAAATAAATTTAACTAGATTTAATTAAGTTTAACTAGATTAAACTTAGAATTAACTTAGAATTAACTTAGAATTAACTTAGAATTAACTTAGAATTAACTTAGAATTAACTTAGAATTAACTAGATTTAAATAGATTTAACTTAGTTTTTAAGTAAAGTACTTATAAAGGATAGTTCTAGACACTTATATAGTAAGTATAATATCACGTGATTTTATGTTACGTAACTAGACTACAAGATTTAGCTTTGTTTACATGTAAATAAGCGTGTCGTAAATACCCTTTATTACTCTTATAGATCTTAACAGCCTTTTATACCTTTATAAATACCCTTAACAGCCTTCTATTCTTAACAGCCCTTTGTTCTTAATAGCCCTTTATGTCCTTATAGATCTTAACAGCCCTCTACCTTTACAAATACCCTTAACAGCCCTCTATTACCTTTACGGATCTTAATAGCCCTTTATACCTTTATAAATACCCTTAACAGTCTTTTATACCTTTGTAAATACTCTTAACAGCCTTTTGTTCTTAATAGCCCTTTATTCTTAATAGCCTTCTATTCTTAACAGCCCTTTATTCTTAATAGCCCTTTGTTCTTAACAGCCCTTTGTTCTTAACAGCCCTCTATTCTTAATAGCCTTCTGTTCTTAATAGCCCTTTGTTCTTAACAGCCTTCTATTACTTCTATAGATCTCAATAGCCCTTTATACCTTTACAAATACCCTTAATAGCCCTCTGTTACCTTTATAGATCTTAATAGCCCTCTATACCTTTACAAATACTCTTAACAGCCCTTTATTACCTCTATAGATCTTAACAGCCCTCTATACCTTTACAAATACCCTTAACAGCCCTTTATTACCCTTAATAGCCCTTTATTACCTCTATAGATCTTAATAGCCCTTTATACCTTTATAAATACCCTTAATAGCCTTCTGTTCTTAACAGCCCTCTATTACTTCTATAGATCTCGACAGCCCTTTATACCTTTACAAATACCCTTAACAGCCCTTTATTATCTCTATAGATCTTAATAGCCCTCTATACCTTTATAAATACCCTTAATAGCCCTTTATACCTTTATAAATACTCTTAACAGCTCTCTATACTTTTATAAATACCCTTAATAGCCTTTTATTACCTCTATAGATCTTAACAGCCTTTTATACCTTTACGAATACCCTTAACAGCCCTTTATTACCTCTACAGATCTTAATAGCCCTTTATGCCTTTATAAATACCCTTAATAGCCTTTTGTTACTTCTACAGATCTTAATAGCCTTTTATTACTCTTAACAGCCCTTTATTACCTCTACAGATCTTAATAGCCTTTTATTACCCTTAATAGCCGTTTATTGCCTTTATAGATCTCGACAGCCTTTTATTACCCTTAATAGCCCTCTATTACCTCTATAGATCTTAATAGCCCTTTATTACCCTTAATAGCCCTCTGTTACCTCTACAGATCTTAACAGCCCTCTATAGCTCTTTATTACCCTTATAGATCCTTTTTACCTTATTTACCTTTACTAATTATATTGTTTTATAGGTCTCTTTATAACTACCCTTATAACTACCCTTATAACTACCCTTACGACTACCCTTACGACTGCCCTTACGACTGCCCTTACGACTGCCCTTATAACTACCCTTATAACTACTCTTACAACTATCTTTATAACTACCTTTATAACTACCTTTATAACTACTCTTATAACTATCTTTATAATTATCTTTATAGATAGATAGATATATAGATAGATAGATATATAGATAGATAGATAGATAAATAAATAGATAGATAGATAGATAGTTAATTAATTAATTCTCTTTAAGTATGTTTTAACTCTTAAAATCTAGCTTAAAGTAACTTAAAGTTTTTTAACCTTTTTTAACCTAGATTTAACTTAGAATTAACCTAGTTTTAAGCTAGGTTAAATCTCTAAAACTAGGTTAAATCTCTAAATCGATTTAATAATAATCGTATATTATTATAATAAAACTAGAGTTAAAACTAGGTTAAAACTACTTAAAACTTCTTAACCTAGTTTTAACTTAGATTTTAACTTAGATTTAACCTAGTTTTAATATAGTTTTAAGATATATTTAACATTATCTTAAGTCTAGGTTAAATTATATAAATAAGGCTGTAAGGTAGCTCTTTAATCTATTACTCTAGTATAACCTATACTCTTGTTAGGCATTAGTCTACTACTAACGTATAGGTAGCTTAAGAGGCTACTATTACTACTAGCCTTTAGAAGGCCTCTTTTAGTATTAATCTTAATTACTTAATCGTTACTAGGTCGTTATTAAAAAGGGTCTTAAGGGTACGTAAGAGAGTTGTTATATTTACTACTCTTGTCTTTACTACTATTATTGTTATAGTAATAAGGTTATGTAAAAGGTACAACGTCTCTTCTTTCTTACCTAGTATTACGTAAGCTTTAATTCTTTATATAATTGTCTTTATCTTATTGTTACTACTACTCTTACTACTTACTAGCTTCTTACTATAGCTCTTAGTTAAAGTATAAGAGTACTAGCTCTTACTTATAAGTAGGTAATACTAGCTTTGTTTAAGTCTAGTATACTTACTATCTATTACTATAGGCTTACCTATAGTCTGCTAGTACTCTAGAGAGAATCTAAAGGTACTGTACTAATTTTAAATTAATCGTTTGTTTTTAAGTTTCTAGGGTAGTAAGAGGTGTAAACGACTATTATAAAATTTTTAATTAGATAATTAAGATTAATACTTAAGAAGGCTTTCTAAAGGCTAGCTATAGTAGTAGCTCTTTAGGCTATATATACGTTAGTAGTAAGCTAACGCCTAGTAAGAGTATAAGTTATACTAGAGAGATGTATTAAAGAGTTATAAATCTAAGTAAAGAAGTAGTTAAAAGACTTAGTATACTATAATACTATTAAAGTAAGAATTAAAAAAATATCTTTTTTTTAAAGAGCGGTATTTTTAGAATATAATAGCTACTATACTTATTAAAAGAACCTTAAAACACTCTTTTAAGTACTTACTTTAACTTTTATTATTATATAATATTATTATTATTATTATTATTATTATTATTCTTACTACCTATACCTAATGTATATAAAACCTCTATACTATATAAATCACGTAGTAAAACTATATTAAAGCTAAGTAAAAACCTATATACTACTCTTTTAACTTATATTATTATAGTACTACTAAGGTACTAAGACCTTACTACTACTCTACTAGAACTTAACCTTCTAGCCTAGTAATACTAAACATACTAATAAGGCGCTAGTAGTACGCTAGTAAGGTACTAGCTATTAGCTAAGATTACTCTCTCTCTTTCTTAGCTAAGTAGTACTTAGCTAGCCTAAACTATAAGAACTAGCTAGTAGATAGTAGCTAATAGATTAGTATATATATACTCTTTTCTCTTTTTATTACTACTATAAAGTTATAGAACGTCTATAACGCCCTTAAGTAAAGTACTTACTATAAGGCCTATTACTATTATTTAAGCTACTAGTAGTTAAGGACTAGGTAAGCTACTGTCTCTAAGGCCTTACTATAAAAGTACTAGAGAGTTACTACCTTTAGTACTTTATATTTAAAAAAAAAGCTTAGAGTCTAACTTTACTAGTACGTATTTATATTAAAAGTAAGCTCTTATACTTATAAAAGAGTAAGTACTTCTTAAGGGTATCTACTAAAGAGGCAAGTAGTACGGCTAGGGTAGTACCTTAGTAGTATACTAGTAAACTATTATATTAGGTCTATTATGTCCTCTAGTTCTCTTATAAGGTCTCTTTTAAAGAAGAGTCTTTATACTAGTTCTTTACTTATATAGCTTAGCTTACCTTATACTTAAGTAACGTATAAAGTAGTACTATAGTAGTGTTATAATAGCGTTTCTAGTGTTATTAAAGGCAGGTTACTACCTTATTATAGATAGACTATATAAGTTTGTTCTTACTTATATATTTAAGACGTTATTTAAAGTCTACTACTTACTTATTAAAGTAAAGGTTAAGTAAAGGTATAGCTATTTTAGACTTAAGGAACTAGATAAGAGTTACTTAGTATATCTTTACTATAACGTAAAGGTACTATAACTACTTTATAGTAAGGTCTTTTATAATCTTCTTAGCTTACTACTTAAAAGAGTAATACTAGACCTTTATACTATACGTTATAATACTCTAGATTACTTTTATATAAATCTCTTTTATATATAGTAAGTTATATCTTTATGTAAATATAGTAAGCCTAGTAAGTATAAACTACTAGATAATAAACTTTTGTTTAATAGTATTAAGGTAGCCCTTTTATCTAAGCTTCTAATCTATCTATACTCTTAGAAAACAGGCCTCTTAGGCTAAGGGTATAACCTAGCTATTAAGGTAAATAGGTATTATTAGTATAGTATAAGTATAAGTAAAGTAAAAGAGCTTACTCTTTTTAAAAGTAAACTTTATTTTTCTTATACGTAACTACTAGCTATATATCTACTATACCTTTTTAAGGTACTAGTATATCTTTACTATATCTTTACTAAATACTAAGAGGTTAAGGTTGTTAGTAAACCTTACTATAATAAGGCCTATATGTCTTTATAGCTATACGTATAAGCTAGTAGTATAAAAAAAGAAAAAGATAAGAAAGAGAGATAAACTCTATAGTACCTTTATAGTAACCTCTTAAGGTAGTACTAACACCCGGGGTACAACTGCTACGCCCCCGTCGATTTATAAGAAAGTAAGGACTAGGACTAGAGAGAGGAGAAGAGGCCCTACGTTATAACATACGTCTGTAAGAGCGCTAACCTTAAGACATAACAACGCCGCCTAATCTATAGCTAGAATATAGTCTAGATTAACGTTAAGGGCTACGCTATCCTAAATGTATATAGACAACTACAGACCTTAGAGGTTATCGACTACATTACCTACCTACTCCCTCTAGTAAAGTGCCTTATTAAGGGAGACTTTAACGCCTGTTACGACATGTTTAAGCCTAGGGCCTAGGCGGTAGATTAGGGCGCAAAGCTTGCCTACTAGGTAATAGAGAGTAGTATAGACTTTGTTAAGACACTAGAGGAACCGACATAAAGGGCCGGCCACGTCCTAGACCTTACCTTTTCTAACGTTCCCTTTACGTAGACACAGATTAGGGACGACATGTACAGTAGTTTAGACTATAAGACCTAAGTTACTACTATCTCTGGCCGAGAGGTAGTGTTACTATATAAGGTGAGTTTCTATGGTTTTGTAGAAGATTAATGATCTATTCTTACTACCTAGAGTTCTGTTTACTATAGTAATCCCTAGTGTAGCGTGCCTACTATAATAGCGCAGGCTATAGATACTATAGCCGTGTTACGCTATAAGCCGTAACAGCTGCCCCCCTTTTAAGAAAAGACTAGCGCCCTTACTAGTATAACCTATAAAAACAAAGCAAACATATATGTAAAGCAAATGTAATAGTGTTAGGCCGAGTAGAAAAGGGTTAAGAAAAGCGAAATTAATTAAAAAAGGTATACAAAGGTAAGTAGTAGTACTAAACAAAGTAAAGCGTCCTAAACAAAATATGTCTTATAGACGTAGGTAATACCTAACTACAACCTTAGACTATTCTAACACGTCTGTCTCTAACGTGTACTACAAATATAAGGATCTAAAGTCCTTGTTGTCCTCGTCTCTTACGTAAGTCTATTAGCTTCTACTAATAACCTTGCCGTTATTAGCTTAGTAACTGTTTTGTTAACTTATAGCTACTTCTTTTCTATGTGTTATTAACTAAAAGACCGGCTTAATTTTCCTTAAGAGATTTATTTATAGTAAAGTAAATGTAGTCACGTCTATAAACTAACTTAGTGTCGAGAATTCCTCCTTTATTTTATCTTGTTTGTATCGCTTTAAGAGGTCTAGTAGCTTAAATCTTAACTATACTTTACTATAGTTAAGCTCTTATAAAATATTATTACCTACGGCTCTTCTCTTATAATCCTTAATTTCTTAGCCTATCGCCTGTATCTTTGCCTTTAGTACTTTCTTTAAGTTACTGTTAACGCCTACCTTAAGTTCCTTAAGCTTAATATATATTATATTACAAGCTGTTATAGCTTTACAGCCCTTAGCTATAGTATAGTCTAACTCTTGTTTTGTCTGTATAGTTATAACTTTAAGGACCTTTATAAACACTAGCGTAGCCTTTTATATAGACTATGTAGATTCTGTTGTTATAGGCTTTAGAGCCTTTTGTATCTTTTATATAGCGGCTATTAATATGTTGTTCTTTAACATTAGTGTTAGGTCCTTTAATACTAGGGTTAGTAACATGGATTACGTATTAGTTAGTAGTAAGGGCGTATAGTATCTGTCGTTACGATCCTAATAATTACAAAGTAATTCGTATACTCTTATAGGCTCCTTCTAATATTGTATAGTAGCCTTCTTTACTAGCTTGTCTATATAGTCGCTAGTTAACTTAATATCGCTATTGCTTGTAGTTACTATAATTACTCTACTAGTTAGTGTTATTACCGGCTTACTGTATTGTCTTAGCTTTATGTACGCTCTACTGTTAGACGCGAAATTTCTAGGCTAGAGCTTAAATCTTTACCTTATAGAGACTCTTACGTTAAGTAACGCTACTATCGCCCTTCCTCCTAGTATAACGTTAGCCGGGAACCTATTAACCCCTCTAGAGTTATAGTACTATATAGTACTAGTATACTATAAGGAGCTTATAAGGATTATAGAGCTTTTACGCTCTAAGCTTATTTACTTTACTATTATAGTCTACTCTATATTACTATAGATTAATTGTCTTGCCTCTCTATAGTGTACAGATCTCTTGTTTAACTTAGGGATTAGTAACTAGACAGAAGTCCGGATCTATAGCTATAGTATAGAAGTTTATAACTACGTTAGCTTTAGTATACATGTTAGTATCCTTTACTTTCTTTACTACTAGAGTAGGCAAGCTATCTATTACTAGTCGCTTTTAGGTAAACCTAGTAATGTCTGCTACAAGTTAGTTCTGTAGTCTGTTACTCTTAAACTCGTCGTTAGAGGATCTCTTATTACCGCTAATGTTAATACTATTAAGGTTTAGTACGTCTATCTTGTTAGTGTCTATATAGTAGTTAATACAGTTGTTATAAGAAAAGGGTTTATAGACGTAAAAAGAGGTTCTGTTATAGTTAGAGAAAGAGTCGTGTTTATATAGATTAAGAGAGGTTCTGTTATAGTTAGAGAAGGAGTCGTGTTTATATAGATTAAAGGAGGGTTTAATGTAGTATAGAGAGAAGTCGTGTTTACGTAGATTAAGAGAGAATTTGTTGTAATATAAGAAAGGGTCTTTAGAGTTGTGTTTATATAGATTAAAGGAGGGTTTGTTATAGTAAGGAGAGGAGTCGTGTTTATATAGATTAAGGGAGGGTTTATTAAGATTAAGGGAAAACCTATTGTAGTAATAGTATAAATCAAGCTTTAGCGATTACGGCTATAAGAATTCTAAAGGTAAGGTATTTAGTAAGTATACTTTTAGCTATGCCTTAATTACTTATAGTTGCTATTTCTGTTTTATACTAGCTTTAAAGTCCTTAAGTAGTTCTTTACTATTTCTAAGTCACGACTTTAGTAGCTATATGTCCTATTCTAGACCGTAACCTTTTTACCTAACTAGATATTTTGTACGTCCCTTAGTTACCTTTTTACTAACAATCTTCTTAAGTTCTTATTTCTCTTCTCTATTAACTATTATAGCCTCTAGCGCTAGTAGCTATTACTTGTCGAACAGATCTACTCCTTTTAGTACTAGCTCTAAATAAGCTACTAAGAACATATTATGTACACGCTAGTAATCTAGTATTTGTAGTTTATACGCCTACTTACCTATCTTCTTTAACACTTTTAACAGCCTAGCTCGTTATTAGTTAAGTTTATAGCGTGTTTTAGATAGTATTAAGTAGCCTTTGTATAGTTGTAAGTAGACTTTGTCGCCCTCTTAAAAGTATATAGGTTTGTGTTTCCTGTCGTAATATAGCTTTATAGACATTATTACTATATCTATAGCGTCTGTAATATCTATCCGCGCCTTTAGTATAACTACTTTAGCTTAGTCTACTAGTAATGTTAGGGCGCTATTAGGCGTAAAGCTATATACTACCTCGTTTAGTAATTTGCTTATACTTACTAACAAAGTGTTGTTAAGATAGAATTAGAGAAAGGGTAGTACTATACGCTAGTTAATACTATTCTTAAGCGCGTAGAGGTAGTATTGTAGCGCGATTTTAACTATTTAATTCGTTCTTTTACTTTATCTGTCTGTCTAAGAGTAATATATAGTTAAATAAAAGAGTCTAACTCCTAGGCCTGTCTATAGTACTTTCTAAAGTCTTACTAAGAACTGTAGGCCCTTGTCTATAATTATAACCTTTAGTAGTCCTTAGTTAAGATCTAATAGACGCGCTAGAATTGCTTTCCCTTATTCTTTAGTAGTCTACGTCGTTTTCCCTAGTATTAATACGATCTTCTTTATTAGTTTGTTAGTTATTATAAGCATTACGTTAAATCCGTCTTTAGTTACTAGAAGCCTAAGTACAAAGTCTATTGTAATTATATAGAACAGTATAGGCGGCGTTAGAATTAGTTGTAGTATACTATAAGGTTTGTATTAAGTAGTCTTATATACTTAACATTCCGGGTAGTGTTAAAGGAAGAGGTATAGCTACTTAGACAGCTTTAGTACGTAGAAGTTAGCTACTATAATTTCTGATATCTTGTTATACCTTAGGTATCTATATTTATGTATAGTAGTAAAGATCTCCTTAACGTATAGTTTAGAGATATATAGCTGTCTTAGATATCTGTCTGTACTCTTATAGAACAAAAGGCTATCCTCTATCTCTTTAAATAGTAGTGTTACTACGTTGTCTTTTAGTTTGTTATTGTCTTAAATAGTCGTCCGGATCTGTACTAATTTCGTGTCTTGTATGTACCCTTATACTAATTCTTTCTTAAATTCTAGATCTATTTTAACTAGCGTTATCGTGTAGTAGTACGCTTCTTTTACGAACAGGGTGTCTAGTTTACTAGATTCTAAGTTATTGTCGTCCCTTATTATAGATAAACAAGATAGAGTATTAAGGACAATATTAGCTTTCCCTAGCTTGTGTTAGATGTTAAGGGCAAACCTAGACAGATATTCGCTTACAAGTACTAGCTGTAGGTTAAGTTTTTATGTTAAAGTTATAGTTATAATATTAGACTGTCTTAAAATATTATATAGTACACTATAATCTATAAAAAGAATCACTAGTTAGATCTGTAAACCTTTAATAAATCTCGCGAGTTTACGTACTATCTAGACTACCCTATACATTTCTAGTTCTGTCGGCTAGTACCTTGTTTTTATAGGCTATAGTGTCTAAGATAAAAAAAGAATTAGCTAGACTTTTGTATAAGGTAAATACTCTTCTTTCTAAGGGATTACATTGTCTTTAATATAGTATACTACTACACTAATCCCTCTTTACTTAAAAACGTTAAAGTCTATTAGTAGCTGTCTTTATACGTTAAAGTACGTTAATATATAAGGATTTGTTAGCTCTTTTTAAAGCTCTATAAATACGGCTTGTTCTACCCTAGTCAGGTATATAAAGGCCTCCTTTACTATAAACGATTACTATACTCTACCCTTTATTAGTACCCTCTTAAGTAGTTCTATCTTACGTACTTATAATAGCTATACTATCTAGGCAAATCACGGCACTTTATTACGTATCTAGCCCGCTATTCTAAGGTATTACTTAAGCTATTAAAGCGTTTCCGGAAAGGTAAGCTTAGCTATTACTACTGTTCGTTCCTCTATTGTTACTATACTAAACGAGTCTACTTTTTACCTTAAGACTATAGCTAAAAGGAATACTATAAAGTACTTTAGCCCTTTAAGTACGATATTAGCTTATATAAAACACGTAAACACTTAGCGTAAGTAGTCGATATACTTTGTTAAAGTT